TTTAATTTCTTGCATAGATACTGACAATTCATTATCGCTTATCTGGAGCTGGACCCTCGTCATATTTAACTGTGTATTCATAAATGAAATATATATTTAATAACTATTCCTCCGAGTCAATAGCCCATGAGACCGAAGGCCGAATAAGCTATCGGTTTTGTTAAGTTTGTGCTGGGAGTGAGACGCCAACAAGATTTTTATTTGCATCTACATCTCTCGAAAGTTTACATTTTCACTGCCCATTTTGAAATTCGAAAACTTATTTTTGTGGGCTATGTGATATACACCCGAATTGTGACATTCGCCGCCAGGTCTTCTTTTTGGCACAAAATGTATTTCAACTTTGAATTAAATTTCAGTCTTTTTGTCTGATAAAAAGCAAATTACACGGTAGCTTGAAGATATGAATTTTAATTTCTCGTGTTGAAAAACATCACTCGAAAATAAAATCCATATCTTCGCCCAAACCTCTATATATTTTTAGTTATGGTTTTTTTACGTAAACCTGATGTTTATTTGTATTTACGTAGTTTACATAAACCTACACTAAAATCTCGTAACGCGACCTCCGTACTCTCGACCCTCATGGGAACTAACGGTGATGTTACATTGCATAATATTATTAAAGGTGTCTTTAAAGTACTAAAATTTGAGCTTTTAATGGTCCTTGTTCACGATACCCAACCTACGTGCACGCCCTTTAGGATCAATGGGATAGAAAGCCAAAAAGACCGGTCAGGATTGAATAAGATTCATAAGTTCGATAATGCATTTACCTCGTTGAATAAAGTATGGCTGACATTTATTATCCGGTTGGTAATGTCGTTGTCTGTTGATCCTAGTTCTTGAACAGTGTCATTTAGCTATCAAGCAAACATTTACGAAGAGATAAGTATCAGGTAAATAATAGTGACACCTGAGTCTCCTCGTAACCATGGCCTAGTCAAAGCCTACCTCTGAAGCCAGGTTTGCTTGAACTGCTTCTAGCTTATTTGTCTTGTCAAACTAGCAGATAAGGATTAAAAGAAATATATGAATGTTACTATATTAAGAAAAAACTTGAATAGACAATTATGCGCAGAATCCAAGGATGGTGTTTTAGAATCATTGTATGGTGATGAATAATTCCCTGCTAGCAGAGGTTCTTCACGCCAAAAGAAGAAGGAGGGGAAAGAGAGATCGAGAGACCCCTTCCGGCCGCCGACGCGTTGTTTCATATAACAGCCGACCACATTTGTGGACGAAACCAACTGGCTTTGAAAACCAGTTTCGTTTAACGTGGAATGCGTGTTCCCTGTTGAGACTGAACATTGGAGATTTCTTGATTTCTTTCTATCGTTGTTATTAACCATATCGGTTTTGTAAGTTGTGTCACAGGTGACTAAAACGTAACTGGTTGTTTAGAAAACACCAATACATGCTTGATCGGAACACCCATCGAGGCCAGGAAGAGGTATATCTCTTTCCTATGATTTTTCTCTCGCCGTGAGAGGCCTTTGTTAGAAGGGAAGGTAGACATGTCCTCGTCTTTTAATTCAAAACATTGCCCTGTCAGTTTCACCCGGCCCTATGTAGAATCTGAAGACTTGCAAATTTAAGTTTCTCCTTGTAACTCTGTTATTTTTCATGGTTCAATGTGATGACTGGGTGATACGAAACTAATCGGTAAATCAAATTTATTTATTGCAAGGACAAAAGCACAAAGGTAAACAAGCAATTTCAACAATTATGCTACTATTTTAATTGGTACGGCAAGTAAATTCATTTCACTGTTCAGGTGGCCACAGGAGCTTATGACATAAGCAGGAAAATAACCGCAGATCTATGTGAAGTAAGCGCTAGCACTAATAACCATAAGAATGAATGAAATTTTCCCATTTTCTTGCGCCTGGTGTATGCTTATGTCATTGGGTCAAACGTGTAATCCATGAGGACTCATGGATAAGCACTCCCTCGCTCTTTATAGCAGAACACTCCAGGCGCTTAGCGTCTTCGCCTCAGAATTCGAAGGGGACGCTCGCTCAACAAGTTTTAATGAATGCAGATCGACTTCTGGATCAAAACAAAGCACATTTCTAGGATTTCTTCAAGAAATATACGGGCAGAATTGACCGGAAACGACGAAAGACTACTTCAATATAAGCACAGGTAGCCCAAGCTCGAAATATCAGCATCGGCGAACATCGGCATTGTTGCGTACGTAACATTCGAAATATAAGGATTTGTATTCTCTCTATATATAGAAAACCGTTTACATAAAAACCCATAAAACGGCCGTAAATCGGCCCGTGGACCACATTTTAAGTAAGGTAAGCAGTTTTTTATTGAAATCCTTTCATTTTCGTAGGTTACCGAAACGATAGGTTTTTTTCCCATACAAATCTTTATATTTCGAATGTTACGCAACAGCCGATGCTCATATTTCGAGCTTGGGCTACCTGTGATGTAAGTAATTCAACCTCATTAATTAAAAGTTTAACCTTCATTTAGTGGAAACTTCTATGTTTCCTATGGCCCATGATGTAACGCTTCCTATTTAGTTTAGCTGTTTTAGTGAATTGCAGTCTGAATCAAGTACCTCACAGATACATAATGAAAAGATCTAAATAAATCAAAATCAAATTGCGCAAGTTTAGAACTTTGAAATTAGATTTAGCGAATACATACTTAGTTTACATCAGTTAACCATAAACGCTTTTCAACCATGTTCTCCCTATGTACTCTTGCTTAAAACCTTATGATTTCAGTTACATTTGCGTGAATCAGTTAATAACATGCACAGTCTTAATTCTTACCAAATCCTGCTGCAATCTTGTCATGTTATACTCTAATTCCTTCATCCTGGCCAATATCTCGTTATCCGATGTAACTCTCTGTGCTGTCACGGTGGCTGCAATAAATAGATCATCGCATCATGCCGCAAGTTGTATAACTACATTGTGTACATGTTTAAAAAGGTGATCACGGATAAACGCCTACTTTAGCTTGTGAACTGCGTACATTGTAAAGGGATGAGAAAGGGTTTCTGCTGCCCACCGCGATTAATATATACCTACTCATAGCATGTATCCTACAGTAGCTGTGTGTGTTTGTACTAGGATGATTTATAACACTGTCTAAATGCTATGGGTTATCAATACCAACCCCGATGTAATTGAGCATCGCGACTACTTTTCTAGAACTTACGACAACTTACAATTTAGACCAGAAAATCCTCCGGTAGCCTGCCCTGCAGAAGATGTAATAGTACCAGTTATCACTATCAAAGAGGAACCCACAGGCTAGGTAGTTGATAGTGGATTCACGTATCTCGGCGACAGACTTTCCAGATATCTGAGAACATCGATGACGACGTCAATGAACGCATTACCAAGACCAGCTCAGCTTTCCGACGACTGCGTGAAAGTGATTGAGCAGGGAGAGGTTTCCTCCTAACTTTAAAACTGAGGGAACGCAAGACAGTAATGTACTGTTCTCACTACTTTCTGCCTGTTAGCCATGGGCAGTCTACGAGCATCACGACAAATGTGAAAACTACGCTAAAACTGTTAAAGATCACTTGGCTTCACTAAATTCCTGACACCGATCTCTCTCTCTCTTGGCCTGCCAAGCATTCACGCTCAACTCAAAAGAGCCCTGATTAGTTAGGCTTGCCATCTTGTCAGAATGCAATGAGAAACGCCCGCGCAAAATTCTATTCGACGGCGAATTAGCGGAGAAGAAACGCTCACGGGGTGGACAAAAGAAGCGCTACAAGAACTATGCGTGTGTCAGAGGGTCCCTGAAAAGCGTTGACGTTGTTGTTGAAAACTCTGACAACCTGGCTGGCAATTGACTGACCAGCCTAGCTCTTTTAGGAGAACAAAATAGCAGAATCTTAGAAGAAGCGCGAGCAACGCGAGCCTAAAGCAATCTTTTTGCCAGCTGTCAGAGAAATTCACCACTTTATTATACTAATATTGTCGGAAATTTTAAGTACTGCACCGAGACTTAGCGAAATACGGATTATAGTGTAATTTTAACACCAAGTATGCTACTTATGCGCCCATTCCGATATATTTGTGTTTGTGTGTTTTTCTGATGTTCAATGCATTTTCTGCTCTTAAACAAACACTCCACACAGGGTGTTGCCTCTTTCCATTTAATTTCAGCTAAAGTTTATTTAATTTTGGGAGTCGGTTACAAGTGGATTCTGCGGAATTGTGAACATTAATACCTTTTTTGGTGCCCAAATTTGCTTTCATGTTACTCCTACCATTAGAAACTAATCATTGTTAGTAGTTACACAAGTATACGCGCATGGGCATGTCTAAGCCAATTGAAATTAAGCCTTATGACTAAATTCAAAGTACTTAGGACAGCATTCCAGACGTGAAAAAAATAGCCTTTTCTTTTTTTTCTTTTTTTTACCTTTTTATTCATTTTTGTACCAAGCAACGCTACCTCGTTGTTTCTAATAACCTAGAACATGATTTCCTTTCTAAACTACGCTAAGTTTTGCAAGTTATGCAAAACATGTCGAAGGTATCTGCTAAAAAGTCTAAAATTATCAAAAAATTATATAAAAAAATCCTACGGATGACGGTAACAGAATTATCAGCATTGTTTTTATTAATATTGTTTTTGCTATTATCACTGTGATATTAAACTACTGATTGTATAAGTCAAACAATCTACCGGGGTTACTCATCACGCGATTTGTTTACTACTAAAAGCAAAGCTAGCACGTTTTGTACAGCTGAAAAAAATATATATTAAAAATCATGAAAAATAGAGAAAATGTTATAAACCAAAAACCTAACGATGGATAGATTTCCTTATCCTTTTTTAAAAATTCTTATTTATATGGAATAATCACTGAGAACCAAGCAATTAAATTGTAACGTCTAAAATTCAAAGGGACTTTACTTTGGATAAAAGCAGAACCTGAAAAATCTTCCGAGCTCTAACTTTCCTTTATAGGGCAAGCCTAAACACTCACCTATTTGGTCCTCGTTGCAGCCGCATTTGTAGTGTATTTTTCCGAAAAACATCAACAGATTAAGCACCAATGCAGCAATGGATACAACGAGCAAGAGAGCAACTAGCGTTGATAGGGCTCGATTTGATCCATGAGTTGTAACAACCTTGCCGTAATCATAACTTGACTGCCCTTGTTGCTTCCATGGGTCATCATAAGGCTTCGTATGCCCAATTTCTTCTTGAACATGGTACGTGATTTGTCTTTTCATTGGGGTGGACATAGATTGCTTCTCGTCATCTTCGTAAACCCAATCTTCAAAGGTTGGATTGACGACGATTCGTCCTCCTGTGGCGTGCATTATTAGTTTTCTTTTTTTTCCGGTGTCGAAGCCCAAATACACTTCAGCACTGAAATGAATCTTGTCGATGAATGTATTTGTTTTTTACGGCTGCAAATATTCTAATTGTGTATTCAGTTATTTAGAGTGAAGTTCATTATTTAGGGTACGGTTCCACTTGAATTCCTTTTTTAATTGAGATTACATCAATATCGTTGCCCCACAAAATTCTTTTTTTTTTTTTTTTTTTTTTTTTTTTTTAGCTTGAACGCACTATCATCATCTTGAAGTTTGGCAAGCGAAACATATTAAGTTAAGATCAAAGAAACAGTGCGCATATATATGTAATTCCAGTCTGATGATGACGAACTGATGAGGCCAAGAGGCAACCAAACCTAGCATTTCGATCAGTATGTCTATGTTTGTCGGAATTAAAGTAACTGAGCAGAAAGCCTCTTTTAATTCAAAATTATTTGGCATTAAGGTATTAGCATTGTTTGGGGCTAAAGGATTATTGGGGACTACTAGGGTAACAATATTATTGTTTCCTTTTAAAAATGACGTTATGTGCAAGTTGGAACATGAGATGGCTGCCTAATTATTTAACCTTTAGATCCACATACAAATTCTCCAGTCATTTGCTTAGAATTCGTTAAGACGATTTGATAAAAGATCAAGCAATTTCTGGTCGAGTTATCGTGATAATTTTCGATACCTTTTTTCGTTGATTGTTTATTAATATTGTTAGGAGAAAAAGAAATAGGAACAATAAAAACGGCCCGAATTCAAGCTTTCAATCGTTTATACCAACTCCTGACACAAAATAAATACAATGTAGACTTCAGACAATTCAACTGCCTATGCTTTATTCATTTTTTTTTTCTTGCTTGCATGGTGTGGTCGCTCTTTGAAAGTTAAAGAATCTGGAGTGACAGCCGATGGTAAACTATATAAGTAGGCATGAAGTACAATTCCGCCGCTGTGCCAATGACTGGAACCAAGGTTAAGTTTGCCATAAAGTTTCTTGAAATCCTCCGTTTGTTGTATGCTGACTCTAAACGGCAGTAGTACACAAGATCTATTCAGAGCGCTTAGTATCTCCAAAAATCTTGGACGTCCTTGCACTTTTAAAGCTTGATTCAACGGACGTGAAATTAAACACGTTTGAAGCCTTTATCACATTTTTTTTTCTTAGTTCAAAGGAGAAATATCACCTAGCTCTTCTGCGGAGAATGCATGCCACAGGTGACGGATATCAAAGAAGGCGGCTGACGTACCATAGGCTTGACGGAAACGCATTGTGACTGAGTTGATCAAATTTATGTTATTGATGTTTCAACACCCACTTGAAATTATTACTACTTTTTTTTCGTTAGTTCGTTGATGTAAATTACTTTACGAACACTACATCAAACGAGTAATAGTCATACATTAGTTCCCCAAGGACGATGAGAGATGTTAGTCAATTTTTGCTACGGAGATGATCGTGTCAAGCACAAGCTATTTATTAGGGCCTTTACTTAACTTGCTTCTGGAATAAGGTGTTACCTGTTAGAACCTAATTTCATTTTGTTTATTATAAATATCTATTAGCTATTATTTTTTTCTTACGTTGGTTCTGGTCAAGTTCGCCCCCGCAACCCAACCACCTCTGTACGTTCAGTTCAAAGATTAGAAGATTTTAATTTGAAGTCTCGGAACAAATTAAAAACCGTGTTTATTCATGCTCTGCGGCTTGTTTATTCATGCTCAGCGGCGGCGGTTTTTGTTCGCATCATTCCAACTACTTCTTAAACATAAACAAAGATGAAACAAAGTTGAATTTATTATGTTTGTGCCAGTACACTATTAACCATTCTCATCTTTTCTATTTCTAAATTTTTTTCTACATAAAACTTCAAACCCATGCCCTCCACATCACTCGTTTGTAGCATTAAAGTAGGCCCTTATTTAAGAAAAAAAATAGTTATATCGCAAGTTCAGTGAGTTTGTCTAACCAATTATTAGAACCAAGGAATTGAAAAGCCAAAGTAAACAGTAGTTTGGGAGCGTTTATTTTTTACTAGGCTCCTAAAACTTCAGTGAATTGTCTTAATACTCACTTCGTCTAGCTAACTCGACGTCAAATTCCCCATGTCATCAAGATAGTCGACGATTGGGATAAAAAAAATGCACCAAGTTTGATATCTAAGCCTTAGATAGCTGATATTTCTTCCGTAAAATCTTAAGGTTGAGTGATGTTCATTTGCATATAACTATTTAAACAATATATCCACTCAAAGAATCCGTCGTCACTCTAACCTTGGATGCCTGAAGGGCCCATCTTGTTTGCTTTTTAATTACGGAAACGGCTCATTAAAAAATGCTTAACACATACTTTGTTTTTACAACAGGAAGGCAAGTTATTGAAATTGGCTGAACATCATTGTCCATAACCAATTCCGGTCGCGGAAACAATTTAGCTTCTTGAGACCATTTTTCTCCAGAAGAGAGACCGTAATATGGCTTTGTTAATGCAATCGCCTCGGCCACCCAGGCCTCCAAGACCAACGCCGGGCAAGACGAACCTGTTTGTTGTAAATCCTGTATTCCAAAACTGGTGTCAGGATGGTAGGGAAAACGAAAAGGCGTTGGGGCTTGTTCCATCTCGTGTCGGTAGTCCACACTCGCATAAAAACAGAAGCACACAACAAGACCACTGGAATTTACCTCATAGACAACCTAACAGCAATAAGTTACACTATCACGGCTATGGTATACACGAGAACAACACAGGAGTATCAGGAGAAAGCTTGAATCTTCCTAACCAGCAATTTCAGGAAAATATTAACAATACAGACTTTGCTGAGTCAAAAAAGTATGGCCCAAGTCGTACAGTGATACTGCTAATTGCACTTTCGTGGCTTGTTTCGATCACAGCCCTTTTGTTAACAGTCATGGTTATTTTTGACAAAATAGGGAGTCCTTGTGGATGCTCGGGGACTCAAGGTAAGCGAAACAAAATAGCTGTTGTTGTTGTCTTTGTTTTTAAAGCTTTTCTTATTACTATTCTTGGCGTGGAATCGTGACTTTTCATTTTTTTGTTCTTGGTTTTGTTTTGTTTTTCTTACACCTGAAAATAAGTATAAAGTTAAAAAATTAAAATTATTGCATTCCTAATTAAATCAAGCTTCAAGTGAAAGTTAAGAGAAAAAGTGATCTTTTTCCACCGTTACCTAGCTTTGCAACCACAGAAAAGAAGTAACTAATTAGATAGCTTTGTTGGATCTATAGCATCATTTTTCACCCAAAGATAAATTGAACGTTTGGGAACACTTCCAGGCTCCTGACACTCGCGACGGTCAGGAAATATCGAGCATAAAGTGGCAAGAGTTGAAAAGGCGATGTCGAGCACTTTTTCTGTGGTTTACGTGGAGACTACTGAAATTATTACAAAAGAGTAATATCAGCTTAACAACACTTTGCCGTGAGGAGAATTTACTAGGTAAAATGGCAGGCTTATAGCTTACAACAATTTCTGGCATGAACGCACTACCCATATTCCATAACTAGTAGTTTGTACAAATTTGCGCTCTAGATCGGAACTAGAAGCAAGAATTCAAAACTCCTCAACAACTTTTAAATTATTAATTGTGATCGGGAGGCATGGACTTCTTCAGGCACCGAAAAACATTCTTACAAATAAAAAGGGGCGTCAAATAATGACTTCCGACTTAAACATATTCTGTCGAGACAAGCAGCCGTAAAGGAAAGTTCGTGCAACAAAAAACGAGTTAATTGCCCCCGCCTTCCTTGTACAAATAAACGAGGGTGCGGCTAATTAACTAACAGTTAATTGTTAAAAAACGCCGTCAGGATGATTGAAACGATGAAGACGATATATAACACAAATAAAGTTATTAACAAAGCTTACTAATTCTAAAGGCACATCTTATTGCATGCATTTAACGCAAACTGAGATTTGTTCCAGTGCCGCCATCCTTACGGTAATTTAGTCAGGCTTAAGGCGATGCCTATAATCGATGCATCTGATAGAATGTTAGGCAGCAGGACACCTTATCAGTGTGCTAGGCCAAAACAGTTCCAGCGTCTAAGTTTCGTAATTAAAAATTGTTAGAAATTTTTGTGTGAGTTTATTAACGAGTTTGGGTGCTAATGAAAGCAGACTTTGCTTCTTTAGTTCAGGGTCCATAATTGAAATAGACAAGTCATTTCGCCGCTTTCGTAACAAAGGCATTCCGCGGTTCAAGTTAAAGGCTTCACCGAGACTATTAAAAAAATAACAACAGTTTTATTCTTAGCTAGGTTAATAGGCTCTAACGCTATAATGATATGCTGCGGCCAAAACCTAGATTAAAAAATTTACACTTGCACCGTCATCCGCAAACGGCTGACAACAAAAAAAGTGCTTTTGTTGTTTTTGTTGCTGCTGTTGATTTGGATACTATTTCTCCGTTTCTGATTGGATAAAATCCCACGCATAATTCATCACAACCAGCTACTGTCGACCGAGTTTGGAAGAAAACTGATGACGTCAATCGTGCAGCAAAATTGCCTTAGTATTGAAAGGCTAACCGAGAAGACCTGGGGACGAGGTTGAGTTGTGCTCTGCAAAGTATCAGTAGAAAGATTCAGTTCAAGACAAATGAAACAAATTTTAATAATAAAAACAAACAATAACTACCTAAAAAACAACCTTTAGGGTTTGAAAAAATATATCTATTATGGGAATAGCAAATTGCAATTATTTTTAAAACGTAACAAATGAAAAGTTATGTGGTAACTTACTTGACTTGCAACGAAATAATCATCGTTTCAAAGGGATTGAATAGACCAGTATTCTCTCATTCCAATTATGTTACCAGTATAATCAATTTTCTTACCATGGATATTTTTTTGCATGTTTTCTCAACTACTGAGTTGTATTGTTAGTCCCTCCTCAGGTGCAACAGGTGAACTCGAACCAAAACAATGAACTTCTAGCGAAGATGAAATTTCTAGAGGAAAATGTGTCCAATCACCATGATGCCTTGGTAAGGAATTTTAGTGGTTTAAATTCAAATACCCTGTAACAATATTGCCATATATAACTAGCACCTTTTATTGGAAAAAAGAACTCACGGTCGAAGGTACTGTGAAACTACACGTAACTAAGAATGCTTGAAATAAACTCTTTTCATCTAAACTTTTGCTTGCATACAGTCGCGGGGACAGTACCTTATAAACAACTATAATAATTATTCGTTCAAAATATTTCTCCGTTTCTGATTGGATAAAATCTCACGCATAATTCATCACAACCAGCTACTGTCGACCGAGTTTGGAAGAAAACTGATGACGTCAATCGTGCAGCAAAATTGCCTTAGTATTGAAAGGTTAACCGAGAAGACCTGGGGACGAGGTTGAGTTGTTTTGGTAGTGAATACAAAAATGGCGGAACATTTCACTCGTTTCACGAATTGTTGGCTAAAAAAATAGCAAAAACAGCGATGCGACGACTTGACGGACGACTTCTGCTGCTTGGAGAACTTGCGGAACTGAACATTCCTTTACCTCTTAAACTTGCTGATAAACATGCGCTATCGAAGATGAAGGTGATGAGGTGGAGGTGGAGGTTGGCATTTGTGGCTTGTGTTTAAACTAGAAATTATTTTGAATGAATAATAAAACAATCATCGAATTCGGGTTTCGTATCATCTGAAGAATTATGGAGGTCGAGAGGGGTGTTATCCTCCGAGGCCGCAAGGCCGAGGCTTATTTGACCGACAAGGCTGAACTTGAAGTGTAAAGCCACAGCCTTAGACTATTTTTGGCCTGGTTTCGCACTTAATTATCCTCTGTTGTCGTTTTAGATTTCAAAGTCAAGCCGACTTGAGCAAGTTGAAAACACACTTAATGCACTGGAAAGGAAACATGAAAATATAATTAAGATGGTATGCTCGACATAGTATTATTGGTATCCAATAGAAGAATCAATTCATTTGAAACAACATAATGCAACTGGAAAATATGAAACTGAATTTAATCTAGGTACAAAATCTGTGTACTACCAAATGAGCAAATCAATACTGAACAACAGCAATCTAGAAAAGGCTGTTGTAAAGAAGCAGGCTTTGTTTATTTAATCACCTCTCTTGATAAAATTTGCTATTATTATGTAAACATACAGTTCTGTCTGTAATTGAAGGAATAAAAATGAGGGAATTCAGAGACATTCTTTTATATTTTTGACAATAAGGTGGTAAGAGAGGCAAATGATTTTTACTTAATTATAACATTTTCAACCAGTGGAGAACTCTATTCAAATAAAAGAATAAAATAGCGCTCAAGATAGATTTATTTTTCATTAAACTGGCTTCAGTATTCGCCTAAAAAGCAGTGATCATGACTTAATAGTCTTTAAAAATATACCATTTATGCTGAGCTTAAAATATTATACCTTCCGGCCTGTCAAATAGTATGAACATATATGCATTTTTACTGTTTTTTTACTGCTTTATTCCTTCTTTAGATAGAACGTATTGGTTTTAATATGACAACACTACTTTCCACGACAAGTTATATGGACTATAAACTCACTGACCTCGAGAAAAGGACGAACAGAGCTCTAGACGCGGTATCTATTTCTTTTTATGTCAATAGAGTAACATGTTGAAAAAAATGCCAGAGCCAAATGCTTGGTCGAAGTTGACTGTTTCGACCTAAATGATCCAAGATAAGAAAACATGACCTAGAACTTGCAGTTCTGCTTCACCTGAGCTAGATACAGTCAGTTTGCCTCGACATTTTTTCGGTTTAATTGTGTTACGTGGAAATGCACACGCGATCAATTTGTATGGAGCATTAGACGTTGAAAAATTATCGTACACGGTTAGCAGCTCTATTCTTAAATTAGAAATTGTGACAGGGTAAGCCTCTGTTCACAAAGACGTAATAAAAAAGGTGTCTCAAGAATAATTTGTGCAATTTAGATAAGTAAAACAACTGCAAGGCTCAAAGAAGAAGATATCACGTTGAATAGTGATTTAAAAGATGTGAACGTAACTCGATCCGCGAAGATAAATTATTATTAAGCTTTCGTTTTCAATTACACTTAATATAATGTAGTGTTTTTATTTTTTCTTTATTTTTTTTGTTTTTTTATTCAGACAATCTTTATATTTTTGACAACAAGTTAGTAAGAGAGGGAAATGTTTTGTTTTTTCTTTTTAGATATAATTATAACATTTTCAACCAGTGAAGAACTCTATTCAAATATAAATATTATAAGATGAGTTGCTGCTAAAGAACTTTGATTCATTTTAAGCCACCCCTTAGATTTTATTAATTTATATTTATCCATATAGTAAGGATAAAATAATAATAATAAACAATTGAACAAATTTTATTGATAACAATGCAAACTATTAAAATCCTGTTTACTATCAATACACTTTAAAAAACTGTTCCGTCAAAACACTTTTCTATTTACAATTCTTTTCGTTTAATAAAAGAAACGCCTAGCTTTGATTAGAAAAAAAAATCGTTTACTTAAGAAATAAATAATAATAATAATAATAATGATAATAAAAAATAATCTAATGAACATTTTTTTACGTGTAAAATCTACCATTTGTTGAATTAATTATTTGTTTGTTTGTGAGTGATTAGAAAATATATCGGCTTAATATTCAGTGGTTTAACGGCTTTTGGCTTAGTTTTTAGTAAATATTTGGCATCATCGCGGACACTGAGTGTCTTGAAATCAGTTATCGTTATGGCTATGATCATTGTTTCTGCTGCTAAGAGAGAGATGAATTGACACCTTGTAGCTATTGTGATGCGTAGAAACGCACACACGATCAATTTGTATGGAGCTTTAGGCGTTGAAAAATTATCTTACACGGCTAGCACTTCTGCTCTTGGATCAGAAATTGTGACATTTTTAGGCAAATTTCTATTCACAACGACTCTTTAAGAGCCACCAATAAAAAGATACACATTTCTTTTTTAATTCATAAATAAAAGAGGTGTCTCACGAATAATTTTTTTCTTAACTGCGCAATATTTTTAGATCAATAGAACAACTGCAAGGCTCAAAGAAGAAGAAATCACGTTAAATAGTGATTTAAAAAAAGTGAACGTTACTCTGTCGGCGAAGGTAAATTATTATTGAGCTTTTCGATTTCAATTTCACTTATTATAGCGGAGCTCCACGCGCGCGCGGCGCGCGCGCGCGTGGGCGGAACCCCATTGCTAAGTAAATCTACCCATCCCAGAAAATTTGGTAATCACGTTACCGTACACCGACCGACCGCCCGCCGTCCCTCCGCACCACAGGAAAACCAATGTTTACTGTCACACTTTTAGCTAGTTTGGGAGCCCAAGAGAAAACTAATTGCACAGGCTGCACATCAATGTTGTGATCAATAAACAGCTATCAAAACAGGGCATCCGCTGACAAGTATCACCTGACCGTACCGCGGGCTCAAGTGTCGACTCATCGAGGTCGAGTATTTTTTTAAAAGTTATCCGCTGACAAATTACCAGTTTCAAACGATCGCAGGCTCAAGTTTATTTTTTCCAAGGATTCATATCAAATATGTTGTGTTTATGTCACTATGGCCCCGCAATATTAGGATTTTGATTTCAAACTGACCTCGGAAGCGAAAATTCATCCAGTTTTTTTAAAAGTACAGGCGGGGAAGACCTTATCTTACCATGGTCACGCGTTGTTCACGCTCTACGTCCAATTTTTATACTCTGATTGGTCAAAGTTTGACAGGTGAGTTTATGCGGAAAAATTATGCAGCATCTTGAAAGTAGTTTACTTTGACAGCTGAAGCTGACAGAGTTTTGTGTCAACTTGTGATGTTTTTAACTGTCTTTCCTCTGGAGGTACAAAATGAAATACAGCTGCTATCAAGAGTCTTCTGTTATTCATGGCTGGTTTGTTTACTGGGTTTTGGTTGAGAAATGCGTCGCTTGTCAAAATGCGGTAATTCGATTTCGGATGGCATCGTTTTCGTTTTTCACCTTGCTTAATGCGTAAGAGGATTTAAAAGTCTCAAGCAACTGTGGCCTCCCTTGATAGCTTTCAGGAACTGAATCTCGAATGGTAAGCCTAAGTAATTAATGTATTTGATGTTTGTGTTTCATGAAGTCTTGCACAGTTCACGCTGACAGTTTATGCGGCAAGTTTATGCACGTTTGCAGGATTTGAGTCAATGATGTGACCTAGTATCAGGTTTGATATAAGCTTACAGAACTTTAAAAAGCCTTCAGATATATTTGCTCACCACAAATAGAAAGAAAACGTTCCGAAGGATATTTAGTTATAAATTTGGCTGTAGAAAGAAAACTTTGAGCGATTTTCTTGCTTCGAGGAGTTCACCTTCGAAAACAGTAAACACCGCGCTGGGAAGCCGGCTAAAACATAAACTTAAGCTTTACGCTTAAGAGCGAGTTTCTGTAAATACCACGGATAGGTGTGCAAGATGGAAAAATCGAAATCCCCCAAACTTTGTCCCAACAAAGCCCTTTGGAAACTATTTTAGAAAATACAAGACTCAGTTCGTTTGACTTAATATTTTCCAAAATAATTATTTTTTTTAATTTTCACCTTCGAGAGGCCTTCAAACCACCGAAAAATGTGCTTGATACCCTCGCTTCGTGAATGGAAACGGAAACTAATACCATAACTTTTCTTACATTAAACAATTTTATGATCCTTCCTTTCTACGTAAACGTTGTTACAATTTCAAAAGATTTCAATCTGATTTTTTAATATTTTTTCAAAATTACCCTCTAAATCAGCATTTACGCGACCATCAATTTTGCCATTTTTCAACGGCGAAAATCCCTTCCTGGTACATGGCTTTCATTAGAAAAATGGATTCCAGAGAAAGAGCAATGTTTCCCCTATCAATCTGTGAAATAAAATTCTGGGGCAATTGAAACTGCGAGTTTTTACAACGGAAAACATTTACGGTACTCGCGTGATTTACGACCTTTGAACTTGCAGTTGTCGTGATGAATACAAGGGAGAACTTTTAGACAGCACTTGAAACTCTGGCGCAAATTCGCCCCTTTTCCGCCAGTTTAAACACCAAGAACGATTTTAGCTTTCACAGTGGTAAATTTTCACAAGGAAAAGCAATTTTATTGTACGAAAGTGTGCTATGAACTTCTTGACTACAACACATCCGTTACGTGCGTATTTGTTTACTTTTGCCGTATTTGTAACAGTTATCATATATCTACAAAACGGCTTTAGTGTCGGTAGCTATTCTTTAAAATGCTCTCATTTATCATGAACCAAATCGTTATAGCTATAAAAAAGGAAAACGTTTTTTCCTACCTCACATTATTTGATAACAGAACCGAATCCTTTACTGCCTTTAACGAAATGAGATTGCGTGACAAAGAACTTTGAGACCCAGGTTGAAGACAGATACCATTCCGAAAAAGACACTCACGCGGCACCTTCTGTAACTATAAAAGCAAAACATGTAAATAATCAAAATCCTTACTTTCACTGACTTATCCGCTAGAGCGATTATGAAAACGTAAGACTAAAAAAACATATTTTCCACAACAGAGTATGAAGTGGTTGCCCCTTATATTCTCTTACTTTCCATAAACGCCTGCTTACACATTTTGAAATACGATTATGAATTCCTTACTTGTATCCTTAGAAAAATGACATTTAGGGGGAAAAAAGTGCTTATTCCTAGTCTTAAATGTCATCCGTCCCTTCCCTCCACCCCCTAAGGGGCGGCAGCCCGTTTCGGGGTGGGGCGAAGAAACGCAGAACATTTCAGACTGATAGCGGGGCTAGAAAACCTGCATAATTTTAGAGCACCTCTGGTGTTAAAAGCAAAGCTTTCAGTAGTTCTGGCAACCTCGAGCAAGTTTTGCATTTCTGAGCAACGTTTGGGAAAAATATAGGCTTATGTCAAGCCAGAAAAAAGTGAGCAGTTTGATAGAAAATGTCAAGTTCGACTGAACCGCGCCCGTATAAGCGCCCTTAATGATTCTGGCAGGGGAGGGGGGAATTTTGAAATGGAGCGAGGAGGACCTAGGTCCAACCATACCGTCTGCGCTTTAGCTGTGAGTCTGCCTTGGAGATAAATTTCGCTCATATTTTTAGCAACTCTTTAAAGAAGATTGCAAGCCGTATAGTTGCGTCCGTCTCAGAACGCTGGAGCGGTGAAACCAATGATCGCGCCCTCGCACCTTGAAAAAAAACTGCGTTTTTTTTGAGAAAAAAAGGAAAAGAAAATAAAAGAGAAGGAAAGGCCGTTCGCACGAACTGAAAGCTATTGTTTTTTGCATTGCTATTGAAAATCTGAAAAGGAACAGTCTTACACACGTAGCCCTCGGGGCGGTACCAGGTGAATATATCACATACCCCATCGTTCCAGGTATATAACCTTTACGTAAGCGTAGGATGTAAGACACACTTGCGGATACGCTTAAGCATAACGTGAGATACCCAGGCGCAAAAAAATAACAGTCGCGCGGCTAATGTTGGCTCCCCTCAAAAATGAAGCGAATTAAGGTGGGCTTGAAAAGTGAGATATTCGGATATCTTCGGATAATTGATAGCGAGTTATTTCCAGTCCACGCTAATTATGAGATTCCTTTTCTTCTTTCCTAACGATAAGTTAAATAGGTCAAGAAAAAACAGCTTTCAGTAAGTTAAAATAAGTTTTTTGAGGGCGCGATCTTTGGTTTCACCGCTGAGCGTTCCTGACGGGCCCAAATATACGGGCTTGCAATCTCCTTTAAAGAGTTGCTCGACACTGTGGGTAAAATTTATTGCCAAGGGAAACGGACAACTAAAAAGCAGGCGGTGTGCTTAGAGCTAGGTCCTCTTTGCTCAATTTCAGAGTTTCCCCTCCCCACCCAGCCTCCCCCTCCCGCCCGAGTCATTAGGGGCGCTTTTAAGGGCGTTGTTCAGTCGTACTTGACATTTTCTATCAAACTGCTCACTTTTTGTGGCTTGACATGTGCCATAACCTATATTTTGGCAAAACGTTCCTCAGAAATGAAAAACTTGTTCGAGTTTGCCAGAACTACAGGAAATTTAAACACAAGAGGTGCTCTAAAGTTATGCAGGTTTTTTAGCCCCGCCAGGAGCCCCGCCATGTCTAGTCTGAAATGTTATGCGTGCCTTCGCCCCACCCCGAAACCTGCTGTGGCCCCTTAGGGGGTGGAGGGAAGGAACGGATGACATTTTAGACTACGACTTAGCGCTTTTTCCTAAGAATACAAGTAAGGAATTCATAATCGTATTTTAAAACGAGCGTGATGAAAACAAGAGACTACAGTGGAACCTCGATTTAACGAAGGGCCAAGGGCCTAAAAAAATTTCTGAGCCACCCAACGACGGTTTCCTTCTAAATTCATTGAAAACATTTTTCAATGGTGTACCCAGAGTACCTTTAGATCTCTAGAAATGCATTCCAAGCGGCTTGTAAAATTTGTTCCTGTTCGGTCATCCTAGGGAAACTTGCATTGAGCATTTTTGAAATTACAAGGGCTTCAGTATTATTTTCCCAAAAATTTTAGATGCAATTTAACGTATCACGAAAGTGAGAAATTTTCTGATTCCTCTCTCAATCACATGTTTGAATCCGAACATTTTAGGCTTCCTCTTTTTCTATGAAAAATTAGCCTAACCTGGGATGTAAAATGTGAAAAATTAAACTTCAGAAAATCGTAGGGAATTTATAAGATAACCTTCGAAAATTGAACAGGAACGGAACGGTCAACTAGAAATTTTTAGGCGTCCTCAAGCTATAGAAAATTCCAGGCAATATCTACTTCTCCCAAGATATATTTTACAGAAAGCAGTCGTTGAGTGCCCCTGAAATTTGCTCGCTATAACGAGGTTTCGTTATATCGAGGTTTTTTTTTTTTGATACCGTAAATCCTCTATTATAATAATATGTTTAATTTAGAAACTAAGATGGTATCGCTTCTCCATAAAGAACTAGAATATAAAGTGGAAAAGCTCAAGTACAGGAAGTTTTAGGTCATGCAGTCGAAAATCATAATCAAATCCTAACTTCCAGTTGGTAAATAAACCTCCCCGGATCAGTCCACACGAAGCCTTTACGGTCGTGATTGATTAATACAGTCTTTCATTTATTAGTGAAGAATAATTACGGGTGGGAAGCGGGTGCTTGATGGAGGGGGGGGCTATCAGAGGGAGGGGGGTTATTTGACAGGGGGCTTTAATATAGGTTTTACGGCATATTTTACTCTTATCGAGGTAAAGAAAATCATTCGTAGGTTCTTTGTATCGCGGTTCCACTGTATAAGGGCCCACCCCTACATAGTCTTTTGACGAAAAAATATTTTTTTAATGTTACGTTTGCAGGGTTGCTCTGGCAGATAAGTCAACGAAACTAAGGATTTTGATTTTTTACATGTTTCGCTTTTATAGATACAGAAGGTGCCGCGTGAGTTTCTTTTTCGGTCTCAAAGTTCTTTGTCACGCAATCTCGTTTCGCTAAAGGCAGTAAAGGACTCGGGTCTGTTGTCAAATAATGTGAGGGAGCTCAAAATGTTTTCCTTTTTTTATAGCTATAACGATTTGGTTCATGAGAAATGAGAGCATTTGAAAGAATAGCTACCGACACTATTAGCCGTTTTGTACATATGTGTACGGCAAAAGTAAACAAATACATGTACGCACGTAAGGGAAGTGTTTGTAGTCAAGAAGTTCATAGCACGCTTTCGCACAATAAAATTGCTTTTCCTTTTGAAAATTTACCACTGTGAAATCTAAATCGTTTTTGGTGTTTAAACTGGCGGAAACGGGGCGAATTTGCGTCAGAGATTCAAGTGCTGTCCAGGTTCTCGCTTGTATTCATCACGACAAATGCAAGTTCAGAGGTCGTAAATCACGCGAGTACCGTAAATGTTTTCAGTTGTAAAATCTCGCAGTTTCAATTGCCCCAGAATTTTATTTCACAGATTGATAGGGGAAACATTGCTCTTTCTCTGGAATACCATTTTTCTAATGAAAGCCATGTACCAGGAAGGGATTTTCGCCGTTAAAAAATGGCAAAATTGATGGTTGTGATAATGCTGATTTAGAGGATAATTTTGAAAAAATATTAAAAAATCACATTGAAATCTTTTGAAATTGTAACAACGTTTACGTAGAAAGGAAGGATCATAAAATTGTTTAATGTAAGAAAAGGTATGGCATTAGTTTCCGTTTCCATTCACGAAGCGAGGGTATCAAGCACATTTTTCGGTGGTTTGAAGGCCTCTCGAAAGTGAAAATTAAAAAAAATTATTATTTTGGAAAATATTAAGTCAAACGAACTGAGTCTTGTATTTTCTAAAATAGTTTCCAAAGGGCTTTGTTGTGACAAAGTTTGGGGGATTTCGATTTTTCCATCTTGCACACCTATCCGTCGCTCTTAAAGACTCAGGATTTTTAGAGACACTTTAATACTTGTCTTCGTGAATGAAAATTGTTGTCTCTGTAAATGTTTCACGGAATTATATTTCTTTTTTTAATTGTTAGTAGTTTCTCTTGCAATTTTAATCGCTTGTCCGGGCCGATTGTTTTCAACGTTCATGACCATCGCTTGCAGGAGTACTCAAAAATGTCGCGCGTATCAAACGCCTTATAAGATTACACATCGTTATAACTAAAACCATTAAATAATAAAACAAATAATAATAAATTCGCTGTTATGTTGAAGCGTAACTCTGTTAAAGTTCATTCAAACACTCGACCACACTGACAGCTCGCACTATAGAAACGAGAACCAGCTGGCCGTATGGGTGATTTTGGAAATTTTCTGAAATTTTTGAACGGTTTGGCTCGTCCTGAATATTGACTGAGTGAAAATTGTGAAATACCGCATTCTGTCCGAGCTCTGTATGATAAATAGTACTGTTTCACCTCAAATGTGGTGTAAAAAATTATAAAAGGTTGGTTTAAACACCCCCAGATTTGTTGGCAAGAATTTGTAAAGTAAACCTGTCGAACGCAAAAAAATTTGGCGTGATTTGTTTTCCAAGAATTTGCTTTCGAGGCCTAATCTACTGTAATCTTGAATGTGATCGAAGATGTTTGCTATTTTCTGGGTGTACATATAAGGTTATCAATTCGATGTAAGATGTTTCACTCTAAAAAAAACTTAGCCTTTCCCTCAAAAGTCACATGAATGTGCCCTTAAGTTAAATGATTTGTGGATTAAAAGTTTATTGTTTGATTTAAATTATAAATTTATTAAAATTGGAGCTTCGCTTTTAGCCCTGGCTAAATCTATATATTATTTACCCTTTGTTTGTTTTATTATTATTTTTTTAATTCAAAGGCATTTTTTCGGTTTAATTGTGTTACGTGGAAATGCACACGCGATCAATTTGTATGGAGCATTAGACGTTGAAAAAATTATCGTACACGGTTAGCAGCTCTATTCTTGGATTAGAAATTGTGACAGGGTAAGCCTGTGTTCACAAAGACGTAATAAAAGAGGTGTCTCAAGAATAATTTGTGCAATTTAGATAAGTAAAAGAACTGCAAGGCTCAAAGAAGAAGATATCACGTTGAATAGTGGTTTAAAAGATGTGAACGTAACTCGATCCGCGAAGATAAATTATTATTAAGCTTTCGTTTTCAATTACACTTAATATAATGTAGTGTTTTTATTTTTTCTTCATTTTTTTTATTTTCTTATTCAGACAATCTTTATATTTTTGACAACAAGTTAGTAAGAGAGGGAAATGTTTTGTTTTTTCTTTTTATAATTATAACATTTTCAACCAGTGAAGAACTCTATTCAAATATAAATATTATAAGATGAGTTGCTGCTAAAGAACTTTGATTCATTTTAAGCCACCCCTTAGATTTTATTAATTTATATTTATCCATATAGTAAAGATAAAATAATAATAATAAACAATTGAACAAACTTTAACGGTGGTTTAACGGGTTTTGGCTTAGTTTTAGTAAATATTTGGCATCATCGCGGACACTGAGTGTCTTTAAATCAGTTATCGTCATGGCTATGATCATTGTTTCTGCTGCTAAGAGAGAGATAAATTGACACCTTGTAGCTATTGTGATGCGTAGAAACGCACACACGATCAATTTGTATGGAGCTTTAGGCGTTGAAAAATTATCTTACACGGCTAGCACCTCTGCTCTTGGATCAGAAATTGTGACATTTTTAGGCAAATTTCTATTCACAACGACTCTTTAAGAGCCTTCAATAAAAGATACACATTTCTTTTTTAATTCATAAATAAAAGAGGTGTCTCACGAATAATTTTTTTTCTTAACTGCGCAATATTTTTAGATCAATAGAACAACTGCAAGGCTCAAAGAAGAAGAAATCACGTTAAACAGTGATTTAAAAAAAGTGAACGTTACTCTGTCGGCGAAGGTAAATTATTATTGAGCTTTTCGATTTCAATTTCACTTATTATATTTACCCTTTGTTTGTTTTATTATTTTTTTTTAATTCAAAGGCACTCTTTTCTATTTTTGACAACAACGTGGTATAGAGAGGCAAATGATTTTTACTAAACTATAAGATTTTCAACCAGTGTAGAACTCTATTTAAATGAAATAATAAAATAGCGCCCATGATAGATTTATTCTTCATTAAACTGGCTTCAGTAATTGCCTAAAAAGCAGTGACTTAATAGTCTTTAAATCTATACCATTTATGTTAAGCTTAAAATATTATACCCTCCAGTCTGTCAAATAGTATGAACATATACATGCATTCTTTTACTGTTTTTTACTGCTTTATTCCTTCTTTAGATAGAACGTATTGGTATTAATATGACAACACTACTTTCCACGACAAGTTATATGGACTATAAACTTATTGACCTCGAGAAAAGGACAACCAGAGCTCTAGACGCGGTATCTATTTCTTTTCGTGTCAATATTTCTTTTAGTGTCAATAGAGTAACATTAAAAAAAAAAGAAAAAATGCCAGAGCCAAATGCTTGGTCGAAGTTCGCTGTTTCGACCTGAATGATCCAAGATAAGAATACATGACCTAGAACTTGCAGTTCTGCCTCACCTTAGCTGGATACAGTCAGTTTGTGTCAACGTTTTTTCAATTTAATTGTAATAAGTGGAAATGCGCACGTGATCAATTTGTATAAGCATTGGGCGTTGAAAAATAATCGTACACGGCTATCACCTCTGTTCTTGGATCAGAAATTGTGACTTGATAAATTTCTGTTCACAACGACGTAATAGAAGGGGTGAATATTTCACGAATATTTTTTTTCCTAACTGCGCAATATTTTTAGATAAATAGAACAACTACAAGGCTCAAAGAAGAAGATATCACGTTAAATAGTGATTTAAAAGACCTGAACGTTAGTCAATTGACGAAGGTAAATTATTATTAAGCTTTTCGATTTCAATTTCACGTAATATATTTACGCTTTGTAATTTTTTAGTTTTTTATTCAAATACATTCTTTTATATTTTTGACAACAAGGTGGTAAGAGAGGCAAATGATTTTTACGTATTATAATTATAATTAACATTATCAACCAGTGGAGAAGTCTATTCTAATACAAATTATAATACGAGGTGCTGCTAAAGAACTTTGATTCATTTTAAGCCACTCCTATAGTAAAAATATGGTAAAGATTAAATAATCATTATAAAAGTAAATTGTAGTTATCATAACAAATTTCCCAGAATCCTTTGAGGCATTTTTTTAAAAAGCCTTATAACTTTGACAATTTTATGCGAAGAAGACTTTCAGACATTTGCCATAGTATATCTTCCGATGTCAAATCTAAGGTAATGACTTCATTGGTCACGTGGCTATTTCCCAATAAGTTTTTTTTCGTTGCTGTGACAAGATTTCATTAACTAGTTAAAATGAAATGGCATATTTGAGGTTTTAGTTGTGTGGGTCGTTTAAACATAACCCGGCTGTTGACGTCCGGCTTGGCTTTTATAGATTGTGCTATCATAATTTTTAGCACAATTTGAGAAAACTAGCATAATTTTTCCCATTTTTTTAAAACGTAACACTGCTAGCATAATTCGCACATTTTGATAATTATCGGAACATTTTTGGATTTTAACAGGCACGCTGATTCCCAAATCCCAATTATACGTTGACGTTGTTCGATGTTTTACGAGTATTTGCAGTTTACTGGGCCCGGAAATGGGGGCCTGGGAGTAGGGTGTACAGGAAATGGAAGTCCCATGGCAAACCAAGTCGGTCCTAATACCTCCCATAGGCAAGGCTACAAAAAAGCGTCCGCTGTGCCAGCCGATTCGAGCGAAAACTTACAGCTCTCTCAGAGAAATGACGGGCAAGAACCAGCCACAATTGCCAGAGACCGTTCCCTACATCAACAAAGGGAAAGTACAGTAGGATAGGAACATCTGACACGACGAAAGTTCCATCACACGATTGTATTAACCGGTTCCCAAATCAGCTAACAAGTTTAAAAAGCTTCTGATTAAAGAAAATGTATTTTTGGACTCATTTGCCATGGTTTTTGAAGAGCACAAGTAAAAAAAAACAATAGCATAATTTGGACAAATGAGCATAATTTTAGCATAATGTGGCCAAAAAGAAAGCAGTGCTACTGGCATAATATGCTACTTTTACCAGCACAGTCTATAAAAGCCTACGTCCAGTATTTAAAATCTAAGGGGGTAATGAACATGAGCGAAAAAGTCGTGAGATTAGGCCAAGGGCTGCAGAGACTCAACCTTTCATCACACGGCAGAGAAAATTTGCGTGAAAGTAATGTTCTACCGCGCCTGATAATTTTTCTACAGACGATAACTTTTAGTTCTAACTGATTCTGAGAGTCCGGGTTGGAATCCCCTTGCGGCACCGAAGGAAGACGAAAAAGCTAACCCTTTGTGAACAAATTATTTTGAGGTTTAAGCTCGAAGCTTTATATGGTGTAAAATAATAATAATTTACTTTTATCGGTATCACTTGTAATAATAAAAATAATAATAATAATAAATTATATTTTTTTAAATTTTCAAACCAAAAAAATATACTTTATTAAGCTCTTCTCAAATTGAAAATTAAATACAAATTTAGTATAGCTATAGTTAAAAAAGACTTCTTGGTGGTCTGGTGGTTTTCAACAGAGCAAATGTAAACAACTGTCTATAAACTAAAAAATGGAAATTTCTATGTACATCCCAATAATAAAGTATCTATAGCTGTTGAGTCTAAGGAAGTCCTGCTTAACCCTTCTCTATTTTTAGATCCCTGTCCTTAACATCTAAGTTCCTCCTTCTTTCTTAATAACAATAATAATAATATAGATTTAGCCAGGGCTAAAAGAGAAGCTCTTGATAATATTTATAGTTTACTATAAAAACGTGTAATGCTAGGCGGCGAAAGCAACGAGAACGGTGGAGAAACAACAATTGGTCTATAAATTAGCAAAAAAAGGAACTTTGCACGTGCAGCACACTTTTTTTTGTGATTTTTTTTGCCGTTATTTTGCACAACTACAACGTGAAACTTCCAGAAACTTTCTGATTACACGTTTTTTGGAGTAAATGTGGTACGTGTTCTTGTTCAGTTCTTTTCCGCTGTCGCTCATTTTACCCTGGTGGCCGCCGGCGTTTCTCATTTTCTCACCGCCGCTACGAAATTTCATTTTGTTTCTCCAACAAATATGACTCCTTTGTTTTTCCTATCTCGCTCTAGCTCTGTTTCTCGTTGAGCTTCGCTGGACTGTCGCCTTACTTTCTCTCTTTCTCTGTCTTTCTCTTTATCTATTTTCCAAATTGTTGGACATGACAATTAATCTAAACTTAATAATTTGGACAACACGGATACAGAAACATTTTCTGCTTTCCGTTTTTGTCTTTATTGACTCTTTTCTTCTCTCTGCTTCACAGGACGCAGGTGGCCACACGCTTTCCTGCCAAAATAATCTGACATTTGACATCGGCTTACATGCAGTGGTTGTACCAGGGCGGATAAAGGTTGAGCGGTGAAACGAGCGCGTCCGAGCAAAAAGGTGTGATGCAGTGGACTGGGACTCTGCTTAGAAATGTCGCTTGCTTTCGACTTCGGTCAGGGCTTGGGAAGGGCTTGCGATGTGGTTTGTACATTAGACACTGCCGCTGTCACTGAATTATGGCGGCTTGATTTGTTTTCTTGCACCTCTTCCTCGTTCCTTTGTGCTGGTACGCTGTCTCCGAGAGGCAAATGTTGCTATTTTTTGCGGGAGGTTTAGTTGGAGTAGACAAACATCTCTTTCAAAGGGTTTCTTTTATTACTTCCATGACTGTACCACTGAATTATATTTTCGTGCTGCTACTCGCCAATGTCGATGTTATTCCAAAACAAAAACAACTAAGTACTGTCTAAAACACGAAGGAAAATCTCATCCATGTCATCCATGGCAAAACTAAAAGACAACAGATAGTGTTTCATAACTAGATGACGTGTATTTTATAAATGCGTGCAGCTCGTGCAAGGTGAAATTATGCTAATATTAATCACCATCATCCTTCTTTTTAATTTTGAAAAAAACATCTCATACGTCTTTCTGTTTCTTCGAAACTTCAAAATTAGTTTCCCCTCAGTTTTTCCTGTTTACCTTGTTTTGTTTTAGAGAGAAAAACGGAGAAAAAACCTTACAACTAACCTCAATAAATTTTGTTTACATGCGGTTGCCGGATTTGCAACGTATTGAGCGAATCGCCATGGCGCGTTGCATCCGAGAAGCAAAGTTTGAAGAAGCACAACGTCACTATATCAATATATATCAATCTAATTTTTTGTTATGTTATATAAAATTTATCCCCCTTTAACATATGTAAAAATTGAGGTTAAGAAGTGTTAAGCTTTTGCAAACGAAACGGCGAAAGACGATTAGGTGATATTTAGTGGAAGGAGGAGGTATTCAACACTTTCAAATTAAACTCAAATTTTGGCATTATACGACCAACAAGTTTGACTTATAGACGTACAGACACAAACATATGAAACTGTTTATTGATATTGTTATGAAACGAATTTATCTATTTAACATTATAGCCTGAAATTACAGAAAGAAAATAGGGTTTCCGGTTTGCAAAAAGGAAAATTTCGCCGGCCCTCAAGCGCACCGGAAGCGCGGAAAGAGCGCTCGTGCCAGTCCTACTCCGCATCACACATTACATGAAGAGCGGACCGCTCGTTTCACCGCCCAACCTTTATCCGCCCTGGGTTGTACGGACAGTCGGCGTTCGAACGCTACGTCAGAACCAAATTTACTTTCTTTCATAGGTTACCAATTTATCTTAGCGATGGAGCTCCGCCACGCGCGCTTCACGCAAGTGGGAGCTCTGCTAATAATGGAAACTTTATTTGTGTTTTGGAATGTACAATTGTAAATCTCGCTACGCATAGGCAATTTACAAATGCCGCTTGAGATTGGATTATTAAAAAAAAAAACGCAAAAAACACACACACAAAAAAAAAGAAAGCAAAACAAGAAAAGAAAAGAAACTAAAATTGCATTTAGTCTGGGCTATCCCAATTCCTATTTCTACAACAAAAGATGTAATATGTTGCTCTTATGGCTATCTTTATCATTTTCTTGATTATATAAAGTTGCTGCTTTTTGTCAATGCCAATGTCATTCATCATGTCTATGAAATAATAATAATAATAATAATAATAACATAATCTAATAAACTTTTTTTTACTAGTGTAATTTACCATCTGTTGAATTACACATTGTTTTTCTTCTTTTGATTTCCCTTTTCAGACCCTTTACTCTTTGTGAGTGATTAGAAAATATATCAGTGGTTTAATGAGTTTTGGCTTAGTTTTTGTAAATATTTGGCATCATCGCGGACACTGAGTGTCTTGGAATTAATTATCGTTATTACTATGATCATTTTTTCTGCTGCTAAGAGAGAGATGAATTCACATCTTGTAGCTAACTGTATAAATTTGGAAATATCCGTCTTAATTGTTCGTCGTAACGCTGATTCTACATTGTTCTTTAGCTTAACACCACTGTTCTGAGGATTATTGTCACACATTTAATCTAAGCGTACTGGCGCAAGACGTCAACGCATCACTATCACTCAAGATAGGAATACACCTTGAGGTGTCATTGCTCAATACCAAATGATTTTACACGTCTGTTGTCCTGTTTGAGTGTGTTAAAATCGTCAATGTTTTATTAGTTAATTTACTAATGTAGTAAAGCTGTTGTATTGGCTTGATTTCTATCGCAGTACTAGTATTGTTTTCTTCATTAATGGGCAATGAATACGCCTTAAGACGTCGCTGACTGTTGTCATTTTGGTTTTGTTTATTTGTTGTTCTGTTTTTATGGCTATTTTAAACATATTGTTTGTGTGTTTATGTGTGTATTGGATAAATTCTACTGGATAATTTGCTACAAACTTTTACAGATTTATTTTAGAAATGCCCCATTTGGGGCTAAGGGCCTTGGAGGAAAGTACGTAAGTAAGTAAGTTAGTATGTAATGTATGTTAAGTCTGTACCTTTAAAAAAGTTAATCATATAACCACTGAAATCTTTCTTCAGTTAACGCTGCTAAATTCATCGTTATCTGTCGTTACCGCGTTGGCTAATGAGACGAAAAGGGACTTCCAAACGTTTAAGTTGAGCATGGAAAATTCCCTGTCTACGGTAAGATTGTACCCTTGTTGTCACACTTCAGCTTTGATATTTCAGTCTTTGAGAGACGCTTAGTTTTTACCAAATTAGACAGAGTTTTAGAGGTGATGTTAAAATCGAATCTACCCGGCGCTCCCTGTGTGGCCGACTGGAAGTCACTGGCCAAAATAAACCTTCCCCGCTGGAAACATCTACTCAAGTACTATTGTTTATACAAGCCAATCACAGACCTTGTTTGCCGCCCCCAATTGAATTTTGCATAACCTTTCTTTTTGTAATTTCTCCTGAGTAGTAAAGTCGCCTTAAGGAAAATTAAGACAAAAGTTATCATGTCTTTTTTGTTTTTGTCTTTTTTTGTTTTTTTGTTACAGTATTGGTAGCCAGGGCGGTACTGTCAGTGAGCCTGGGTATCCTGTAGTTCAGCGACCTTTTGTCAAAAGTGTAATCATTGCTTCTTATCTATACCTCAGGTCTTTAAAAGCCTACAGAACCTTGAAGAAAATGGGAACCTTACAAAAGACAGCCTTTCCCTGGATATTTTCAACACAAAAGAGATGGTAAATGCGATAATACTCCCAAACTTTGTACTTACTGACTTAGTTTTTGAAGGTTCTAATTTTAATTTGCGACTATACGGATGCGTGGACACGTCTCTAGAAACCAACCCCATGGACAAAAAAAGGCCATTTCGGAGTTCCACTTCGCCCACACACAAAATAAATGTAATTGCTTTAATTTACACTTGTTTTCTAATCTTGTTTACAATTGTACGCAGTTTGACTTAGATAAACGTTCGACTGATGAATACGACTTCTAACAGAAATATTAATACCCGGTAAGAAAAACCAGACTTGACCAATCGAAAAAAAAAAAAAGAAAGAGAAAGAGAGAGAGAGAAAAAAAATTAAGTTGCCGCAAAATACACAGCATTGCCTATCCGCAATATAAAGTAGTAGTAGCTCACTCTGTCATAAATGTCACACAGTACTGGCGCACGGTATTGATTTGTCTGGAAGAAATTTTTTTCTGCTTTTGCTCTTGAAACAGCTCTAACATTAAAACCAAATTTCTTTTTGTCAAAGTTATCACAATGCCTTTTGATAACTTTTGAAACCTTGACTTTTTTCAACAGCTACAAAACGCAACAGATAGACTTGATCGAGAAGATGCCAACTTGAAGTTGCTCTTGAGTGAAATTAACAGCACCCTCTTCCTAAAGGTAATGTTGTCATTTCCTTACAAATATATGGTTTTCCCTGTAGACTTGCAGTTCTAATTTTGTCCATTTTTACAGCTATGATATACTTTCCCCAGAGGAATGACGAGAGGGCATGAGGGAAAACGCTTCCTGTTATCTCAGGGGACCAAGAAAAATACGCTGGGTTTTTCTGTTTATCAAGGAACTATTAGTGTGTCATACTGTAGATTAAATTCTTTCTCCCACTCTCTAATAGCCACGCTTTAAAAATTGAGACCCCAATTTTCATAGCAAACAAAATAATCACCACTGATATCCTTGACGCAACAATGCAAGTGGCCTTGAGCTGTGTAATTAAGGCAGATTTTTGTTGTTCTTGTCCCTTTCCCCTTGTTGGTTTTCATCTCTCTAACGACCTGTGCGATGTAGGGAAACGAAAAACATAAAAAAAAAATAAAAATCTATGCATTTCTTTCCAGATAGAGAATGTGAGCAAACTTCCGGGCCCAGTCGGTCCTCCTGGCGTAAACGGCTCCCAAGGCCCTATAGGTCCAGCAGGACCTCAAGGATTTAACGGATCCCAGGGTGCAATAGGTCCCCAGGGATTCAATGGTTCCCAAGGACCTATCGGACCACAGGGCCCCCAGGGTGCTGGGGACTTCTCTTTATGTGAATATGTGAGCACTTCTTCAAGGGGAAGTCAGAATCCCGTAACAAGCATTAACCCTGCTGCTAGTATTCAAGTAACTCTCGGGGAACCAAATGTAAGTCTATTGTTTTTGTTGTTATTAATTATTATTATTATTATTATTTTTTATAACATATTTTGGGATTAGATTTTTTTTCTTCTCCCGTGTTAATTAAGAATAAGTCCTTTAAATGCAACTCCTTTTGTAGATCATTTACTAGTTTTTTCTCCATTTTATATAGCTTCCTTCTATCGACTTTGCAACATTAGATATGTGTTTTACCTAGTAATCAATCGCGAATTATTATTCTTAAAAATATTATTATTATTATTATTATTATTATTATTATTACTATTATACTTTTGTGAGTTCTTTAGAGTGATTTCAATTAACCCGTGAAATAGGCAGTAGAATACTAAGCACTGTTATGCACTAATTCTAATGTCTTCTTTTGTTTATTTGTAGCTATTTTGCGCTAGTTGTTATTATCTGTTTCACGGTTTAAGTAAAATCACTGTTAATGTTTGTGCTCATTCAGCGAAAGTCATTAGTTTGTTTACCAAGTTTAAATAAACTCGTAGATTAAAAATTTACTTAAAAATTGCTAATACTTGTCTGATTGTGATAATATAAAATGCTCCTTGGTTAAAACTAAGCTAACGATATAACTACAAAATCATACATGTATAATTCCGTCTGACGCTCTCTAGGCCTATAAGTCCACTGGGCTCGCGCGTTCAAAATAAGTTGCGATTATTATTATGTTTTTTGGTGTTGTTTTTAACCTGTTGCCACGTTGTTGTTGTTGATGTTGTTATTATTATTATTATTATTGTTGTTGTTATTACTATTATTATTATAGTTTTTTTGACAACAGTTACAGAAAAAAGAAAGAAAGAAAGAAAGAAAAAACATAAAATATAATAACGGAAAAGAAAAGAAGCATTAATGCTACGACTGTCACTACTATACGTACATCATTTCTATTCCAAACAAGACATAGGTTGCGACTATGTCCGTTAACAGGAACAATTCCTTCCTCCATAGAAGAGCATATCTCTCATTTTTATCCTTTTAGGACAAAAGAATAGTTGCTGTGTCATGCTCCACCGACCGAGCCCAGATGTATCTTCTTTCAAGCTTAATCAACCCATCCAACGGTCAACGGTTTTATTACTGCGACTGTTTTGGACATTTTGATGCTGGATCGCAGTCTGTGACTTGTTTTATGAGCTACTGGCTTTGCCCTCTTTCTACATAATATTCAAGGGAGTAACATCTGGTATAAGTAATCGCATGATCGCTCCGAAAGCAGTTGTTCGCTTTTTCTAAGCCGGCTTCTGGTGTCATGATTTGGTTTTATGAAGCAATAGAGGGCGGTCGTTACCCCATTTTGTCGCCGGTATACTACTTCATAGTCGTGAAGGGACAACACTCTCCTGTGGCTTGATTTGTCAACGTTTGCTTTCTACAGCTTACTGATTATTGTTGTTGTTGTTTTTGTTGCTGTTTCTTTTTTTCTTTTTTAAGCTTCTGATTCGTATTCTTTAAGGCTAACAACCGCAACAATTGTTTTCATTATCTTGGTTAATGGATTTTTTGCGCGATGGCAAACTTTTAAACCACATACTATCAGTCACTTTTTTTTTGTTTGTTTTCCTTTGAAATTCAGGTGGAAAAGAAGCAGACCATTATTGTACATGATTAAAGAATTGTATTATTCTTCATTCAAATGCCTGTAGACTTTGATATTACGACACTTCATGGTTCTTGTATCCATTAAGAGTTATTCGTCACTAACTCGGAGGCGTATAAGGTTCTTCGTCACATTAACACCAAGAAGGCGGCTGGACTGACCGTATTCATAGTGTCGTCCTCAAGCTTTTCGCCTTTGAACTCGTGCCAGTTGTTGCCGATCTTTACAACTCAACGCTTCGTGAGGGCTTCTTTCCTCCTCTCCTCCAGCGCGCGATAGTTTACCCCCTCCCCAAGGTGACCCCTCTCAAGTGCATCGAGGACGATGTGTGGCCAATCTCTCTCACATGCCTGCTCGATAAAGAGCTGGAGGGCTTCATATTAGCTAGAGTATATCCATCTATTGTAGGCAACCTCAACAGAAGCCAATTCGTGGTAGTTGGTAAATCGACCGAGCAGGCCCTTGTCTATATTTTACACCTGGCTTTAGAAGCCCTGGACAGGGGCGGTTGCTATCTAAGGTTATCTTCTGCTGATTAAAAAAAAAAAAAAGGTTTTGACCTTATTGATCACGTTATGTTAATAGAGAAGCTTTCTACACAGTACAATCTCCTCTGGAGCTTGCTTAGGTGGATCGCATGCTTTTTGCAAGGGAGGTCTCGGGTCACACGCGCTGGCGCCTCGATTTCTGCTCCTTTATGTCTAAATGGAAGCATTCCTCAGGGCACAAAATTGGGTCCTGAGTTGTTTGCTATTATAGTCAATGACCTTGTTCAAAGTTGGGGCACCCGCATTAAATTCGTGGATGATCTGACGTCACGGTTTTGGAGGTTGCTCCTCGCAACTCTCCATCCTTTTTGAATGTAGTAGTTGATGATTTCCACCCTTTCGCTGTTAACAACAATATGCACTTAAACCCTCGTAAATGCAAGACCATGACTGTTGTTTTTCTTCACTAGAATAGTTGCGTTCCACGCCCAGTCGCGGTTGGTAGGTCCGATATTGAAAGGTCTCTACGTTTAAGCTCCTCGGTGTCCACCTTTCTGAGGACCTCTCTTGGGCAGTGCACTGCGACTACATAGTGAAGAAGGCCAACAAACGACTTTATGCGCTGAGACAACTCAAGAAGTGCAAAGTTCCGTCGGCTGATATTGTTCATATCTACTGCGCGCTAATTCGATCTTCCTAGAGTACGTTTCCGCTGCCTTTGCTGACTTGCCTAAGTATCTTGTTTGCCATATTGAGAACGTGCAAAAACGGCTCTTTCCATTTGGCCAGGTATTTCGTACAACGCATGAAACAGCACTTGAAAAAGCTGCATTATCCACTCTTTCTGACCGTCGGACAGTCTCGTGTATTAAATTTATTGCTAAGGTTCGACAAGGTAACCCATTATACCAACTAATACACAACAGAGTGGTACCTATATCTAACAGTGTTTGTCTAAGATCAGGGAGTTCTAGCAGGCCCATGGCCACAAGGACTGAAAGTTTCTCAAATTTTGTTAGTATTAAATATTAATCTTGTCAATAAATGTGGCATATTTAACAATTATTCCACGAGGGCGCGTTGGATATGAGATGTTAGATAGCCAACGAGGCGCGTAGCGCCGAGTTGGCTATAACCATATCATATCCAACAAGCGCAAGTGGAATAATTGTTTTATTAAAAACGCCCACAAAATCTCGTTGAATCTCCCCGACTAGAACAAACCGGAAAAGACAAGGGACTTCCGCTATTCACATGTCACACGTCTATCAAAACTGTCAACGCGCGAACGGACTCGCCTGGACTGCAAGAATGAAAAATCAAAACATTGTAGTGATGAACATTAGTTTTTTAAACACTCATCGGGATTCTAAGATTTTACACAGCAGAACAGCTAAAAAAACCCGGCAAATAATGTGAAGGAAAAGAATGTTTAAGTGACGGCCGTCGAAATTACTGTGAATTTGGATTTTCGGTGCAGTTATAAAAGTAAGAACAACGGAGAAAAACTATTACCTCGGTCGCTTGTTATGAAGTTGTTTGAAGCCACAAGCTGGTTTTGCTGAACGAGAAAAGAAGCTATAGTGCCGCCTCGATTGCTCTAGTAAATGGGTGCATAGCCTTTATTGTAGCTGGCTACTTGTGATTTATATTCTTGATGTCGGATAAACAAGCCGTAGTTATCTATCGGCGAGTGACTCGATCAGCGAATGGCTTCGCGATCATGAAGAAACAACACTTGTCTTCTTTAGTAGCTGGTCAAGGTACTTTAATAGTTCCATGTGTTTTCATGTGTTTTTCGACAAACTTTCAAACAAGCTCTTGTGGCTTTTTTTTTTTTTTGTTTGTTTTTGTCTTTTTTCTTTCGATGAAATTGCATTTCTAGTATTCTAAGAAATGAATTAAAACAATTTGCTTCGGGCGCCGTTCTATCCTTCGCGAAAAAAAAATCTCAGCTAGCTTCCAATTTTAAACTGACGCGTACACCGACCATATATGGAGAGCATGGTGTAATTAACAATTATTCTTTGAAATCGAGGTGAATAGTGGCTAAATATTAGCCGAGCCACGAAAGTGGCAGGGGAAAAATTTTCAAAGCCACTATTCTCCGAGAATGAAAAGAATAATTGTTTTAGTATATACACACAAAGTGATCCCAACAAAATCAGAGAGGAAACCACTAAAAAGTACAATTTGATTGACAGATCAAATCACGCGTAAGTTTAAAAATAGATCCTTGCAGAATTTTCAAACATGGCAATTCACAAGTTTATCATTTCGCAAACAACAGCAAATGGAACCGCTAAAAGTTTGAACTGTTTCCTTACCTGAGAAGAAAAGTGGAGCTTTTGTTGTTTTCTGTTGACACGCCAAGTTTATAGCCAAAAGGGCTTGTTGTGTCGTTCCTCGCATGAAGTGCTGACAAAAATGGCCTGCTCGGTTGCTCGAGGAAAGACGTCGTCTTCTGTATCATTCTTTATCCTGTTTACTTGAAACGTACAATTTCTGCAAACATTTCCTTTTAAATTTGTTTGTCATAAATAAACTTCGATTTTTGAGCCAAAGTTTTCTTGTTAGAAAACGCTGAGTTCACGAAACGGCTTCTTCTACGCGAATACACGGGAGTTGTAAACAATCCATCGAGCACAAAACTCAGCTACAGTAAATTGAAAACCCCGTATTGAATCGTTGCAAGTCTTTTCTTGCCTTAAAACAGTCAGCCGTAGGATTTTGTCGACTTTTAAAAGATCGTTCTCGAAAAAACTGGGAAAAACACCGAGCTCACACATTATCCACTCGCTAGGAGGTGAATATTGTTGAATAGTCCGAGATAGCAGACCAATCAGATTGCTTAAATCACCAACATCACTGAGTGTGTATATACTAATAGCTCATATACCATAACGGCTAAGCCAATCAAAATGCTAGAATTGCATTATCCAATGATTCAGTTTTTAATAATAGTATTTACTAAAAACTGAAGCATTGGATAAAGCAATTCTAGCATTTTGATTGGCTTAGCCGTTATGGTATATGAGCCATTATACCATGCTCTCCATATATGGTCGGTGTACGCGTCAGTTTAAAATTGGAAGCTAGCTGAGATTTTTTTTCGCGAAGGATAGAACGGCGCCCGAAGCAAATTGTTTTAATTCATTTCTTAGAATACTAGAAATGCAATTTCATCGAAAGAAAAAAGACAAAAACAAACAAAATAGCCACAAGAGCTTGTTTGAAAGTTTGTCGAAAAACACATGAAAACACATGGAACTAAAGTACCTTGACCAGCTACGAAAGAAGGCAAGTGTTGTTTCTTCATGATCGCGAAGCCATTCGCCGATCGAGTCACTCGCCGATAGATAACTGCGGCTTGTTTATCCGACATCAAGAATATAAATCACAAGTAACCAGCTACAAATACAGGCTATGCAGCCATTCACTAGAGCAATCGAGGCGGCAGTATAGCTTCTTTTCTCGTTCAGCAAAACCAGCTTGTGGCTTCAAACAACTTCATAATAAGCGACCGAGGTATCAAATAGTTTTTCTCCGTTGTTCTTACTTTTATAACTGCACCGAAAATCCAAATTCACAGTAATTTCGACGGCCGTTACTTAAAAATTCTTTTCCTTCACATTATCTGCCGGGTTTTTTTAGCTGTTCTGCTGTGTAAAATCCTAGAAATCCCGATGAGTGTTTAAAAAACTAATGTTCATCGCTACAATGTTTTGATTTTTCATTCATGCAGTCCAGGCGAGTCCGTTCGCGCGTTGACAGTTTTGATAGACGTGTGACATGTGAATAGCGGAAGTCCCTTGTCTTTTCCGGTTTGTTCTAGTCGGGGAGATTCAACGAGATTTTGTGGGCGTTTTTAATAAAACAATTATTCCACTCGCGCTTGTTGGATATGAGATGATTATAGCCAACTCGGCGCTACGCGCCTCGTTGGCTATCTAACATCTCATATCCAACGCGCCCTCGTGGAATAATTGTTAAATATATCACAGCTTGTAAGATATCCTACAATTCAGTCTTCTGACTGCAAGAAGGACAATAAACCAGTGATTTCTTTTAATTTAG